CCAATAATAGTATCAATATTAATCTCATCAATAATAGTACCAACATTAATCTCACCAATAATAGTATCAATATTAATCTCATCAATAATAGTACTAATATTAATCTCATCAATAATAGTACTAACATTAATCTCACCAATAATAGTATCAATATTAATCTCACCAATAATAGTACCAACATTACTCTCACCAATAATAGTATCAATATTAATCTCATCAATAATAGTACCAACATTAATCTCATTAATAATAGTACAAACATTAATCTCATCAATAATGGTACCAACATTAATCTCACCAATAATAGTATCAATATTAATCTCATCAATAATAGTACCAACATTAATCTCATCAATAATGGTACCAACATTAATCTCACCAATAATAGTATCTGTATCAATCTCAGCAACAATAATATCAACAATATTGTCAATTTGCCCCTGAAGAAGAAAAGTCCATCTTTCGAAAGCACTCAGGTTATAGGGATTTTTTTTATTTCTATCAAGTCTTCTTGAACCTACGTGTTTGTATAACATCATGGACAATATTGTCATTAATACAATTATCAACATTAACCACACCAATAGAAGTATCAACGTGAATATTCTTGGATCCATACTTTTCAATTCAAAGTATATTTATCAAGACGTATCAAACAAAATGTTAATCAAGTTTTAAATTTGATATTTTGTAAGAATGTTTTCTTTTCTTTCATTTTTAAAGTGAACTAAGCTGAACAATAATCAGTATTAAACTTGGGCTTGTTGAGGTATTATACATTACCTCGCCTGGCAACTCTTCAAACATTCCCACGAGTAAACAAATTTTTCATTATTTAAACTGAATTGTTTTGGATCTTATTGTCAGATGTATTTCATTCACATTTGAAATTATTCGCTAAGCTCGTAAAACCTTACCGTTGCTGTAAGCTTAAAGTTATTTCTTTTATATAGAAATATTACTTTACATATTGTTTGTGCTTGTTCGAAAAACGAAAGATGTATAGACATACTACATTTTAATATGATTCCAGGTTGCATGTAGTATGTAACATCTGTAAATATTTTTACCTCCCTAGAAAAGCTACCCCTCGTTTCTTCGATCATGTAACGATTATATATACAAGCTTTCGTAAGTCATACTCTACATTTACTATCTCACAATGTCTGTAGCATGCACTAAATATACATATGTTTAGTTTGACTTTAATGTCTAGTTAATTACAATAAAGTGGGGTTTAAACTCTAACTCTAGGAGAACGTGATTCACTGAACGATACTGCCTTGTTTACAAGTTACAATCATTAAGATTGGTTAGAATATGTTATTATGGGAGACATATATCGAAATTTAGAATATTAGATAATCATAAGTCTATAGAATGTTATTTTAACTTTATTTATGGTTCTAAATGTGTGGCATATTTAGATGAACTGAATTAACTAGAGAGTATAGGATAGGTCCGCTAATAACAAGAGATTCGACAAGATATGGTTTTTATGGAAGAGTGCTGAATGTATACCAGCTGAGCTTAAGCCTAAGAATGACTGGATTGAACACAAAATGTAATACCCTAAGAACACAATCTTTATCCAGCCCTTAAAAAGAGAAAAACGCAGAGTGTGTGCTTGCTTACCAGGGTCATTACTTCTCTACTGGATGAATGTGTAGCATTTCGGGATTCCTTCTCTCGGGACGAATTCCTGGACTGAAGAAATAAACACTTCGAGAATTAAGAGAGAACTGTCTTGGAACCCAGTCTTTCACTCGCAAAGAAACCTTGGTTTTTTCTCTTGAGTTGCATCATCATGTTGGTGGTCACTTTCTCTCGACATTCGCCGTTCGCGACAGATATCACCCAATCAGCCAGTGGCCAACCAAAGGACGCTGTAGCCTTTTGGTGGGACAAAAACGCGACACCATAAATTATAGAGGGGACGAAAAATCCACAAGGCAAGCTAATTCGAACGTTTTTCTCCGCCATGTGTTTTATAACTGGAACATATTCAAAACTACTAATAAATTTAGAATCAGTTGCTGTATGCTCTCTATCCACTGCAGGGAATCGAATCACAAATTTTAACATTGCAACTTTTGCAAGTCCATAAGCTTACCGCTAGCTCACAGGGGAGGGGACACAAATTTAGAAGAAATATTAATACTAATCAAAGAAAGAAACCTATAATATATTTCTACATTCATTTAGTCACTATGTTTTCCGTAACGTTCCCTACATAAAGTGTACAGCACGTTTCCTTGAAATCAAAATGAACTTTGACAGGTTACTTCTGCAGTCTTTTATGTTTCGCTTGGAAAATTGAAGGTGAAATATCCATGATATGAGAACAAACAAAGATAACAGGCACAGTAAGGGATTTACCACATAGAACAAAACAAGCACGTATCCAGAAAAAAAAACTGAATAAATGGTAACTTGATTATATGCCCTTCTCATGAGAGACCATTACAACGGGCAAACTATCATCGGTTTTATAGATAAAATCTATTTAGTTGGTGTCATCTAGAGGATGAGCTAGTGAATCGCCAACTTATCCTTTGATCCAGCATTATAGTCGTACGAAACATAGCTAATATCAGTTTATCGTTTACGTGTCAGCTGCAGAGCCAGAATGATTTATAGAATTGTCCAATAAAGGATAATTGGGTAACGTTTACCCAACTTTCATAAGCAAATAAGACTTGTGTTGCCAATTTACTGAGAGTCTTAACTTCTCAAAAGATAATAAGTTAATGATATGTTTACTCGAAGAAGAAAAACAATACCTACTATGTCAGTGATTAACGAAAGTGTGAAAACAAAAGAGAAATGTAACAAAACTGTTCATTATTCCCAATACAAACAGAAGAACGACTGTAGTTTTCTGTTGTCGAGAGTCTACCTTACCATATAATAATGTGTTACTTTTCAGCAATAATATAAGTAAGGCTAAATGATTAACCATAAATTTCTAATTACAAAAAAAAATCTAAGATAAACCCACAATAAGACTGATTGAGTGGTAGCTTAAATATTAAATCACCTTAAATTCTGTAAAACACAGCTGTAAATGAATGGTAATGTTAAGTCTAAATAAACTTAAGATATTCCTTCTTAGATCATTTGACATTTTGGCCTCTACAATTCATGTGAACAAAAGGGAAAATATTATTCGTGTAAAGATATATCTAATAATTCTCCGCAAATCTAACTGTCTCTATCTTTTTCTATCTATCTAATATCTAGCTATCTATCAGAATTTTTACATACACTTTGCATATTTTTAATTGCTAATGATTCAATACATTCTAATCATAATAAGTTTTAATTTTTGTGTATACATAACAGTTCTAAAGCTATCAAATACATTAATTGTAAATAGGCAATTTGTAATAAGCAATATAAAACAATAATGATGAAATTAATATGAATAAAAAATACAAAGAAACTCAAAAATCAAACTTAATTTTTCTGTTATCAGTCCTTGTTGTCGTCATAACGGATAATGTTATGGTCATAGCAACCAAACGTGTTGCGGATATTCCATCTATCAGACAAGACCCAGACGCTGATGATGTATAACTAGCCAGCAATTAAGGAAAATCGTTTATGGGTTGAGTGCTTGAACCCACAACGTCTCAACTCCTACTGCCTTTCGTTGTCTGCAGCCAGTTGTCGGAAGGCAGTTACTTTTAATATTTAGATATAACCTTAACGTAGAACTAAACCACCCTAAATTTATACAATGTAAAACTCTCAATATTTTTAATAATTATTTAATGATTACAAAATTCTGTTAAACAGAACTAAAACCCTTACCTTAATAATTCTTAGTTCACCATCCTCCTTCCTTTCTCTTGAAAATCTGTTCAAGTATATACCTGGTGAGCTGAGATAAGTCCTGCTAGTTGAAGTTGGTCTTTCCGTCCCGGTATACTGAACAAAATACATAAATATTTTAAATTTTGTTACTTATAAACCAAGGATGACCTTGAGTATTTAACGATCTCTGTGTTTTACACATGACCAAAGACATTGTTCGTTATGAGTTTTAATGATGACAACAAGGACAGGTAATAGAAAAACTAATTTTGATTTTGAGTCTCTTTGTAATATACATATAACATTACAAAGAGACTCAAAATCAAAATTAGTTATATATATACATATATGTATATGAATATTTATGTTATGTACTTCTAGTCAATTTGTCATACAAAATTAGCAGCACTAACATTCGGTGTAATTTGTTTAGTTTCATTTAATTATCTTATTTTTGATCAGAAATTTTTAATAATTTATCAAAAATGGTAGATAACGCAGAAAAATGTTCTGTCTCTTAATCATCTTTAAAATCTAAACATGTGGTTTTCAATGTAGTTGCCGAGTACTTAGATGTATTAAGTAAAATTTCTAACAAATTTTATTCGGTGCACTTAAATATCCTGTGCACCTACAAAACTCAACGTACATTTTGTTTACTAAATTATATTATAAAAAACACAACAAAGCTGAGTTTAAGTTTGTGAATTGAAATTGTTTAAAGCTCAGAATATGGACACAAATACCATTTCTGAAAGTTTTCGTTTAAAATATATGCTCAGTGTAAAACTGTAAGCCACTTTCTTTACGCATTCTTAAAAAAATTCATACTTTTTAGAAATAATATAAGTGTTATAGATTCAAAATTGTATAGTTTGGATAATTAATTCTACTTTTATTTAATTATACTTTCAAAGCATAAGATTTTTTCTGTTTGTTATACGTTATATAGTATTTTACTATAGTTATCCAAAAATTAGTAATTGATGTTTCTTTGTCATTGTTAATGACATTTAGCATTTGTTTAAATCCCAAATTAATCATTGAATGTTTGTAGATTTATTTTGGCTATACAAATTACTCATTTCTAGGCCTAACCACGTGTATAACAATACAGAACTTCATTTCTAAGCCTGTCTATATCTATGACTGTATAATAGTAATTAACTTTTGTTTTGCAGGAAAATCAATGCATGAGGATAAAAATTCTTGGAGACTGTTACTACTGCGTTTCGGGGTTACCTGTTTCAAGGCCTAATCATGCTTATAATTGTGTTAGAATGGGCCTTCAGATGATTGAGGCTATCAGGTAAAGACACTTGAAATAAACTGAATATCAATATTCTAGCATTAGATGAATTTTAAGCGGTAACAAAACCATGACGCTTCTCAAAATAAAATAAAAAAGAGAGAAAATATTGGATTATGTATAACATTATCTTGTCGAATACAAGCTAAAGCAATTAATGACGTGTTGGTGTGACGTACAACATGCCACCATAAATTGAAACCGGAAAGACTCGACATATGTTTAAAACACATTGAAAACTATAATTCTGGCACAGTCTCTCTAAGTGCACACCAAATTATAGAAACTGTGTTTTGCCGTTGGGTTCAAAGATACAACAGGTTTCTTTGTTTGTAATTATGCACAAAGCTACACAATGGGCTATCTGTGCTCTGCCCACCACGGGTATCGAAACCCGGATTTTAGCGTTGTAAGTCCGCAGACATACCGCTGTGCCACTAGGGGGCGATACAACAGGTATAACTAAAAGAAGAAATTCCCAGAGTGAAGTTAATCGAATCTTTAAACAACAGTTCTTATTTTTCAGTTAGATAAAACATTCGTGGCTATAAACATTATTTTCCTTTTCAGTCAGAGGAAGCAAACATGGCTCTAAACAGAAATTATTTCGACTCAGTTAGTTAAAATGTTATAATTGTAATAATAAACTAAATTTATTTCTGTGGAATTAGACGAAACTGATATTTCTTCTCCAGTCAGACGTAACGGTGTTGACTATAGTAAAAGTTTACAAACAGATGAATCATACTTTTACCACAGAGAGTTGAATAAGTGATATCAAAACGAGTTTGAATATGCAAATCAGCAAGTCACGTGACAAACACAGCCAATACAAAATGGCGGTGGAACGGATTGTATCAGAACTACATCGTGACATTCCTTGCTTGCCACCGAAAATTGATCGATTTTAGGAAGGGTATGTAAAGCCCTTTTCGACGTGTTCTTAATGGCAATGAAAAACAAAGGAATATGGATCACCTTTGGATTCTAGGACCTGCATGAGAAGGACCCCAGCCATGAGAAGCAAACTGCGACGACTTGTAACAGGTGAAAATCCACGAACACGAAGGTCAGTAGCAAAAGCTGTCCTTGTGTCTCAAGCACGGTATGCAACATAATCAAAAGGATCTCCGTCTCAAAATCAACACAAGTCACGTGTAAACAAGTTGCTTCCACAACATATCCGTTAAACCACCGCATACCGTATATGAGAAACTATGCTACAGAATGAAACAGGTTTTTTCATGTTATTCAGTTCGAAAGCATGTCCATCAAGTCGCCAGACGTATTAACTATGGACTTCTGTGCGGTCGGACTGCTTATGGAAAGGAAGCATAGAGGAGTGGTGTGCTTTTAGCATGACAGCATTATGACAGAGCCTTATGGAATGGAAACTATAAAACATGGCTGTCGGAAAGTATGATCTGACGTGGCGGCCTGAGCTGTAACGACGTAGCGAAGCTACAAAATAAATTGAATATAATGTATTCAACCCCTATATCAACCAGAGAAGCATCACCAAAAAACAAAAACTTTTTATGCAAATTTATAAAATGTAATTTGATAAATCAGAAAATATTCCTCTACAAATATAAAACAATTATAATAACAACAAGCAGAAGCTTTTCATCTGCTAATAGACAAAATTATTTTGACGATAAACATATTTTTTCTCTATAAACAAACAAAAATTCTTCAAAATATAAACAAAATATTTTTTGCAAAAACAAAACAATACATATACTGTAATAAACAGACGCATAAGCTGACAATTAACATAAGCTGTATCATTCGATAAAAAAAAACAAAAAAAAACATGGGTGTTCAAATAAACGTCACCGTGGAACAGTAACTGCGTCAACAGAACATGAATAATAATAATATTTTTGGTCAAACTTTTTTATGTGATTACTTCTGTGCATTAATAAAGCTGCATTATCAAAATTAGCTAAAAATAAACATCGTTTAAATATTTGTGACCAGAATTATTTGTAAATTTCTTGGCTTTATATTACGACATATGTTTATAAAATATACCTTTAATAAATTTTATTTGTTCTTACATTTAGCTTTCATGACAACCACTAGTCTTCACGTGTCACAAGTGTGTTTTTGTTTCCTATTTAAGTGTATTTTTTGTTTCCTCTAAGTGTCTTTTTATTTCCTCTTTATGTGTATTTTTGTTTCCTCTAAGTGCATTTTTATTTCCTCTTTAAATGTGTTTTTATTTCTTCTTTAAGTGCATTTTTGTTTCCTCTGTAAATGTGTTTTTATTTCTTCTTTAAGCGTATTTTTTGTTTCCTCTAAGTGTATTTTTATTTCCTCTTTAAGTGTATTTTTTGTTTCCTCTAAGTGTATTTTTATTTCTCTTTAAACGTGTTTTTGTTTCCTTTAAGCGTATTTTTCCCTCTTTAATTTTATGTTTAAGTTTCCTTTTGAGTATTTTGTGCTTCTTCTTTAAGTGGACTTTTGTATTTTTTTGTATCATTGTCGATTTATTTATAATTTGGTATTTCAAAAACTCTTTAAAACAAACTAAATTATGTCACTGATTTCGAATCTTTCTTCACTTTCAGTTGAAGTATTTTTTGTACTTCTACATTTACCACATGTTATCAGATCGACACGTTTGTACAGTTTTCTTCCTATTTTCTTGTTTTTTGTTTCTACGTTTCAGAAAGTTAGATCGCAATATAGTTTTATGTTTACACAAGAATATCTTCTCCTAACTCTTCTTTAAATTTGACAATATGATCGATGACATTAACTTCCCTTCCTTGTCTGGTTAAGTAGCACGTGACGAGATCTTTTCCCACACCTTGAGTCCCAAAGTTTTTCCGTGAATAACCACTTGAAAAGTTCAAAATACAAATAAAAAAGGCAGATCTCGCCGAAAATTATATCTTCCTAGCTTCTGTGTCTGTTTTAGTGATCAACATATCGATCATTTAAGAAAACTTTGAATGTCATCTCAAACTTCACCAATTGCGATGACAACACATGGTATTCAAAAGTCGCAGAAAAAATTACATTATCAACCAATCTCTGATTCAACGGTAGAAAATATCACTATTTTGCTAGGTGGTGAGATATTCCATCAGATCCGGAAATTCGGAAGCTTAATGGCTGTGTAGGGTATGATTTAGGGATCATTTTACTGCATTGTTTTCTTTGAACCGAGTAGTCGTTAAGGTGTTTCTATCATACCAAATTGGACCAATCACAGGCTATGGTCATGCTATTTTGCCATTATCTTAGTACTACTATTTTCTCTTATTCTTGTAATGTTCTTACACTCAGAAAATGTCTTTTTATTCTCTTTTCCTTACCTTATCTTCAATCCTTCCCCCCCCCTCACATCGTCGAGATGAACTTTATGCCGAATAGTATTCGCTCTCAACCCCATTTTAGGGCAAGTCGTTAGATACACCTGTAAGTTTACCGCTCCTGTAAGAAGATGTACTTCTCTTGGAGCGCTTGACAGCAACTCTTCCACCAAAGCTTCTCAGACGTCTCTTACGTCCAACTTTTTGAGTAACTGGTGTGTACCATCGTGATCGCATCTACATCTGCTACACTTGTAACACTTCGGACATTTTGCTACTTTACATTTGCAGATAACCTATGAATCCAACCTCGTTTCCATCTCAAAAAGAATAATCACTCAGAAATTCTACCTCGATAACTCAGCAGATCCTCACGGGTTTTACAAAAAGTTTGGTAATGATGAGTTTCCACAAATAATTTACAACAACAATGTCATGCCCATTGTCTGTATTAAGGTAAAAAAATCATCCAACTTTACTGAAAACCAAAAACAAAAAATAGTCATAACTTCCTTGGATGTTATCCAATTATAGATCGACGTACGCCCCTGGATTTCTCAAAACAACAAACAAAATATCAGATATGTTTTCTACAAAGTGCTCTATCATTTCTGCTGCCTTTGAGTCAGAGATTGCTTATTAAAAATTTAAAGAAATCCAAGATGGTGGAATGCATTTTACTGCGCTTGCTCTTTATTATTATTATTATTATTAATATATATATATTAGTGTAAATGTTAAATAATAGGTGTTTTTAACAGAAATGTGTAGTTCTAAACCTTAACTTAAACTCAATATTTTTGTGTCGGTATTGTAAAAGAAACGACCTAAAAAAAACAAAAAATATAATCTTAAAGTTATTATAAGAATATTTTGTTCTTCTCAAAACTGTGGTATGAGGAAATTAAAATAATATTTATGTACTTATGCGTCACAGAGTAGTACGTGAGGCTACTGAAGTAAACGTGGACATGCGTATTGGTATTCACACTGGAAATGTTTTGTGCGGTGTACTGGGCCTTCGTAAATGGCAGTATGACGTATGGTCTGATGACGTCACGCTAGCCAATCACATGGAATCTTCAGGTGTTCCAGGGTAAGATTTATTGTAAAATTTTAAGTGTTAATGTGAATAATATAGCAAGAATTCATTGTAACAAATAATCTTTGAAATAATTTCTATTGTAAAAATAAATAATTCCACATTTTTTCTTGCTACAACAGAGGCGAGTCTTTCTAATCGTTTGTTTTACTACAACTGTAATATATATATATCATTCGAATACTCCGTTTTAATGTATTTCCATATGAGCCATAACTTGAACTTGCCAGCTTCACGCGCCTATGAAAAGAAAAATAAGTCTATAATATACAGAAAATGACGGTCATTGTCGGAATGTCGTAAAAGGCGATAACATTAGTTGCAGTGCCGTATTTTACTGCGTTTTTGTCATCTATATATAAAATACGATTCCCCACTTCCATATATATTGTATATCTTTTTGTATCAGACACATACTCAAAGCTACATTTCTTGGTGTTAACCAAACCCATTTCCCTCTAAATTACACATTTTAGTACTCATCTAATCTAACATCGTCATAAAGCTACGCTGATATCATATTTTTATAAGTATGTTTGATCAATTATACAACACATATCATATGGAACTAACATACAAACACGCACACACGCTCGCATACGATTCTTCTGGAAAAAGAGGCCTACCCATTTATAGATGGGGATTAATTTATTCATCAAAATGTAGGTGTTTTAATCAACCGCTATAATAGTGAAAAATATTCATTCGTCTAAGCAATGTTTGCCTATTCCTACACATTTTCTGATTATTTATCCATTTATAGCATAAATACGACTGAACATGAAATGACAGCCTTTTCCCCAACAATAAGGATTATCAGTGTGGTTTGTGTGTTACGTAGAATCCTAGTAGTCATATACCAACGTCAACTGAACAATCCTAGTAGTCATATACCAACGTCAACTGAACAATCCTAGTAGTCATATACCAACGTCAACTGAACAATCCTAGTAGTTATCTACCTTTAGTCATACATTAATATCAGTGTTTGGTAGTCAACTGAACAATCCTAGTAGTTATCTACTTTTAGTCATACATTAATATCAGTGTTTGGTAGTCAACGGAACAATCCTAGTAGTTATCTATCTCTAATTATAACTAATGTCAGTGTTTTGTGATGGTTACACTAGCGATGGTTACAATTATTTATAATTAATTATATAGACTGTCTGACATGTTTCACGGCTATACCAAAATCAGAGGTTGTTGCTTGTAATGTTTAACTTGTTTACAACGCTCAGTTTAACCATACTGAAAAGAAACTTATTTATCGAACAATACTAATGGTTTAATCTAGCTTTTATTATGTTCCCGAATCTCATGACATAAATTATTTAATCAAATAGCAGCAACAGACGCGAGAGCGAGTGTAGAAAGTAATTTAGTTTGATGTTAGAAGTTGTTCTTACACATAGATCCGAGGGTACGTTAAGGATGGTTGGAGGTGTCGAGTGTTATCGAATTATATCAGTGAACTTATATTGTTTATCTTGGCAAAATATCATTATATCTCATTAGTCGAGTTAATTAAATATTTACCTATTAAGACAAATAGTACTTCGAACTACAGTGATTACACAGGCCTGCGAATTTAAACTTCATAAAAGTTGTTTTGGTTTTAATGACGGTTTTCCATAATTCAGCTACGCAGATTTCGAAAATAATATTAATTTTTTCTATCACGTAAGGATTTTTTTTACAAATCAGGAAGAAAAAAAACTTTTACTTAGATCAAGTTAATTCTTCGTTTACCACAATGAACATTTTCTAATATTGTGTTTGTTATGTTTAGGTTCTAGAACGATCGATAAGATCCTCACGTCGCGATTGGTCTCGAGAAATCTATAGCCAGTGGTTGTCAACATTTTAAGCATAATAAAATGTGCCCCCCAGTGGCACAGCGGTATGTCTGCGGACTTTGTGCTTAATAACAAACAACAACAACAACAACAATAAAATGTGACCAGATTTCAATGAAAATCTTTCACTTAAGTAAAAGTACATATGACGTTTTGTGAAAAATCTGTGCCTGATGGAGAACACTGGATATCATTTTTGGATTCAGCAGGAATTACTGTAGAATATGTAAACATTTCAAGACAATAAAACCATCGCAAGCCTGTGTTATTAGGAAATGATAAGCCACACCAACAGGACTAGAAATGTGGAAAATAGGAGAAAGAGAGTAGGAATTTAGGGGTGGAAATGTTCCCCAAGAATGTTCAGGAATAGGGATAACTCTTCGTTCATCAAGGAAATGGTTGAAAAGAAAACTGGAGTTTTAGATCTTAAAATTCATGAGGGAAGAAGACTAGAGTAAGCTGTGAATTTTGTAAGTGAGGGGAGAGACATTCCTGCTGGTTCTTGATAGGTATTTATAAGCTGGAAAAAGCTCGAAACAGCTGTCATGCTTCTTGAAAAACATTTTTGATCTTCTCTGGTCTTCTTGACTCTGAGCAAACTTCTTCAACCAACTTCAAAGACTGGGAAGGAAATCCGATGACTAAGAACATATATGGTTAAGTGACTTAGTGTTTATCTAAACTTGGAGAATAACAAAAAGGTAATGGGATGGATAGGAAATCTGTCAATTTTTTGAAGACTAGCAGGTGGCTTCGGAATTTCTTGCTGATGAGAGAATATTCGGTGATGTCCTTCAGGATCTCTTCCAGCTTCATGTGGATGTCATTCGGAGGTGAGTTAAGCTAAGTGCACAGACAATCTGCAGTATTGTACTCTTCCTCTTCGGACTCCTAGTCTGAGAATTCAGGTTTCTTGGTAATGGCTGCTTGACTGTTTGTTTTTCTTCTTAATATATATCGTCTGGGTGTGGTGGTCAGATCTCTGTGGGTTCACTGTGAGTGTTGGGTAAATTGTTTCTTCTTCTACTGTTGTCTGGGTGTGGTGGTCAGATCTCTTTGGGTTTACTGTGAGTGTTGGGTAAATTGTTTCTTCTTCTACTGTTGTCTGGGTGTGGTGGTCAGATCTCTGTGGGTTCACTGTGAGTGTTGGGTAAATTGTTTCTTCTTCTACTGTTGTCTGGGTCTATTGGTTTCGGTGGTGAGTTAGGCTTGTTTGAGGCTTGGATTTGGTAAGTAGTTTTGGCGAGGACTACCAGGTTTTGGGCTAGTGGAGTTGGAACTATTCTTCTGGTGTGGTTTTTCGGCCTAAAATGAAAGCAATCTCAAAAACAAACAAGAAGTTTTATTTTAATAACTGGCCAGAACTGACTACTACATTCACAAAAATGGTAGCCCTCCCAGTCTTTTTCAATGTGATTCTATGGATAGCATGGATCTCGAGGATATGTCCCTCTCAAGTGTTCCTTTGATTTCTTCAGTTATAGTGGATAAATTCACTTTTCTCAGAAAAACGCTGTAGGGAATGGAGTTGCTTATTGGTGGATGGCATTCCACATGAGGTCCCGAGTGAGTTCCAAGGGGAACACAGGTCTTCTGTCGAGTGTGGTTGAATAGGTATTCCACAGGGATGAAGACGTCTTATTTGTCTGCAAGGACTGTGGCTTTGAGTTTGTATTTCCTGATAAAGTCCCAAATATCCTTGAAATAATATATGTTTGGTAGGCTGTTGGTGATCACGGGAGTCGTCATGGTCTTCCTTCTTCTCAAAACTGTACACCATGATTAGAACTGTCTGCAACACTTTCACATTTATAAAGATTAACGAACCTGTGCCACGAACCATGACTAGAACTGTCTGCAACACTTTCACATTTATAAAGATTAACGAACCTGTGCCACGATGAAAACACAGACCTGTGAATAATCTTTATCATCTTGAATCCGACCAGGCAAATAGTTTGATTGAAAATGATTTGTAGGCTTTCATGGCAATATGAATCGTAGTTGAAAATAGAAATCTGGTTGATTTTGTTAAACTCGAAAAACACCAAGTGTTCGTTGTAAACTTCGTAATCACTAAAGCACTGAATTTTATAACCAGATTTGAAACAAAACATGCTGCTTGGCTTAATACTCTTATCACAAAAAAGTCAAATCTGTCGTTAACTAAATTGTTAAAGAAACTACTGTATGTTTATTAGTTTTGATCATTTTGTTGTTTTTCCGCCTTGGATATTCCTGCAAAACTGTACAGGGGCTACTTGCACCAGCCCTCTCTATTTTTGAACTGATAGACTTGAAGGAGGCAGCTAGTCAAGAGCGCTCAGTGGTCAACTGTTGGGCTACTCTGATCAAATAGTGATCAATCTTATAACGTACCCACGACCCCAAAGAGCGAATCGCAGCAACGGAGCGCGAGCCTGGACTGTCGGATCCACAGTCCAGCACGTTAACCAGTAAGACACGCCCCGTCTTGAAACCTGTAATGAAACTGACGTATCCTAATCTCATATATTTCTCTGTAGATTATTTATAATCTTATGACAAAAACGCTAAGGAATTTAAATGTCTTAGGAAGGTTACAAGGTCTGTTCTCTAAGTTATCTAAGAAGAACAGATTAATTTGATATGGAAACTTTAAGGAGTTTTTCTGGAAAATCGCCTTCTGTCGTAAACGAGATGCTGCTAATAGTTAATATTTATCCAAAAACTGGCGACGCATCACTGTAAGGTGATTTGTTAAGTAATTTCCAAATATATTTTAGATTTTAAAATTAGAATATTGTATTTCATGAGTATCAATAACTGAAAAGTTTTCCTGTATAGATTTAATAGACTTATATATATGTATATGTATATACATTGTATGTATTTTTTTCCTGTGCCTTTTTTTTTCTAAACTATATGATTTATAAATGTACTACTCTCATATCAGGAATATGTATTGTTCATTTTTTTAAACACTATCTCTTTTTTTGCAAAATAATTAAGCTGTTATTTGTTTGCTTGTTTCGGAAATTTGCGCAAAGCTACACGAGAGTTACCTACTCTTGACGTCCCTAATTTTGAACAAATAGACTAGAAGAAAGACAGCTAATCAATATATTGTCAGATTCACACAGTCCAGCACAC